AGTCTTCAGTTTAAAAGCTCCACTCAAAGCAAAATATGTTTGGGTAATTCCTGCTTCTAGTTGGGTTAGCCCGACTTTTAGTGCAGCTGTATTATCTGGCTTGTTAAATTCTGAAATACTGTATCTAGATCAGCAACACTTGTATTACAGGTTTTGAGGATTTAAGCAAGAACCACTATTGCAAATAAGTTAGATGTGGATTCCTTAAAATACCATAATCACCAGTATTATTAAGAGCACAGTGAAAATGGTAAAGTGCTATGTAAGTATATTTTTATTGTAAACTGAAAATTTCCCCAGATGACAGTAGGTACAAATTGGGTCATATTCAGAGTTTTAAGTGAGGATTCCTTTGGGTGTTCCCATTGGCTGATGCAGTATTCACTGTGTTTGGCCAATAAATATATCACACTTGAGAAGAGTTCTCTAACAATGTATTTCTGGAGTCTGCAGGAGGTGAATTACACGTGTTGGTATACAGATCTCTTTCTCCTGGGCAACACAAGGCCTCCATCAGGTGTGCTGCCAGACTACTGAACTACTTGTCTTGGCAAAGCTGGGCAGAGTTTTTGGATTAAATGAGGGTAGAGGGTTGGAGAATTCTCTTCCTTTATATATTTTTTTAGAGGAATCCCCAAATAGGGCTGCTTGTGCCCTGATGTTTTAGTGAAAACAACACTTTCTATTTTTATTTGCACACTGTGCTCACACTTCTTCTCTCAGACGTGAAAGGGCTCCTCCCTCCCAGTTCTTCTAAGAAGCCCCTTAAGCTATTCAGGACTCCTGGTGGTTCTGCCCCATCAGCTTGCCAATTAAGTCCAGATCTTTTCATCTTATTTAGACTCAAGATGGGACACCAATACCTGCCTGTCTCATTGTCTCACCTTCTCCACAAACTGTTAACCTACATACTCCAGTCCACATTCATTGCTCCCTTTTCTGAATTCTATGTTCTGTAAAAAAAAACAAAAAACAAAACACAGTTGCTGTAGATTCAACTCTGACTCTTGGCGACCTCATGTGTGTCAGAGTAGAACTGTGCTCCATAGGGTTTTCAATGGCTAACTCTTTGGAAGCAGATTGCCAGGTCTTTCTTCTGAAGTGCCTCTGGGTGAACTCAAGGCTCCATCCTTTCAGTTAGCAGTGAATGCATTAGCCATTTGTATCTCCCAGGGACTCCCCATGTTCTGTAGGTATTACACAATTTTTAAAAAGCACAACTCTAAACTTACTGAGGATAAGAACCTTCTGTTACAATCATTGTGTCTCCTCCCACCCACCATACTAGCCAAGGATTCAGTCAGTATGTGCTTGACTGAAAGTGATACATGCAGATGGATTCTCTTGGTTAATAATAACAACAACAAAAAAGAAAAATAGCAGACTCTCAAATAAGTAGCCAAATTTTTCAACATCTATCTTCCTTGCTTGAGCATGGTGGTAAGAGTAAAACAAAACAAAACAAAACAAAAATGAAACCATTCAAAAAGCCCCAACCTACTTTATTTACTTAATTTAATGAATTCCTTTATTGCAAACCAAGTGTTTGTTTACACTTGTCCTGTAGAGATTGCTGCATGCGGTGTTTCACACACTCAAGTTTACATGGGCCAGTTGATTTTATTTGCAGAACAAGTGGGCAGCGAGACCAAGGTTGAACAGATGGCTCTCCCCTGGGTGAGTTTGCTTCACACTAAAGAGTTTGCTTCACTTTTTCACAGCCAAAACCCTGGTACAAACTCCTGCCCTTTAATCAATCATTTTTCCTCTAATGATCAATCAAATACCCTCTAATCAATTATCTGGCCAATATACGTGCTTGACTGAAGGAAGGACTGGAAAATTTCTAGCAGAGTTGTTGCCTGTTTCTGCTGACACTGTTGTCTTGTACAGTGAAGAGCATTTTTCACCTTGTTTGACTATCAATGGAAAAGTCAGAATATAATAAGATAATTTAAGAATATGAAAACATAAAGCCTGGATAAAAATTTTTTTTTACTAAATACTTACTGTGTATCACAATGAACAATGACTTAATTAGCAGAGGTCAGAAAAAGAATTGGAGAGACGAAAGGAACCTACTCCATCAGGCTGAATTTGAGGGAAAGGAAACTGAGGTTGAGAGAGTTAGCTCTGCCTCAGGTCATGCAACAAGTTAGAGGCAGAGCTGGGATTAGCCTTCTGGGGTGACTTGAGCAAAACCTAAATAGCAAGTATAACCAAAACCAAAAACCAAACCCATTGCCATCAAGTCGATTCCAACTCATAGTGACCCTACAGGACAGAGTAGAACTAACTGCCCCATAGGGTTTCCAAGGAGTGGCTGGTGGATTTGAACTGCTAACCTTTTGGTTTGCAGCCTGAGCTCTTAACCACTGTTCCACCAGAGCTCCAGCTATCATAAAGATGTCATGAAACCAAGATTTGAGGCAGATTTGAAAGTTATCCATGTTTAAGAGAGTGGTATATTAGTAATTTTCATTAAATTAGTTACTTTTTTTCTTTTTATACTATTCATTTTTACTGTGGCCTTGACTTTTTATTACTTTCATTAAAAGTTTTATGAGACAGAAATATTTACAAAAGTTAGTGTTACCAAAGAAACCAGGTGACTTAGGACTGACTAGCTCCACTGTGGAGCCCTGGTGGCACAGTGGTTAAAAGTGCGGCTGCTAACCAAAAAGGTCGGCAGTTCAAATCCACCAGCCACTCCATGGAAACCTTCTGGGGAAGTTCTTCTCTGTTCTATAGGGTCACTGTGGGTCAGAAGTGACTCGATGGCAACAGGTTTGGTTTTTGGTTTAGCCCTACCATAAGGAGCCCTGGTGGTGCAATAGTTAAGTGCTTGGCTGCTAACCAAAAGATCAGCAGTTCAAACCCACCTGCTGATCCGTGGGAGAAAAGACCTGGCGATTTGCTCCCATACAGATTACAGCCTAGGAAACCTTACGGGGTAGTTTTACTCTGTCATATACAGGGTCACTATGCAGAACTGACTTGATGGCACACAACAGCGGCAGTCCCACCAAAGGGTTACTACAGGTCAAAAATCAGCTTGAAGGCATCGAACAACAACAACCCCACCAGATTTAAGGGCTTAACTGTTTGTGGTTTGTATGAAAATTGAGATGAGAAGAAAACAATTTTTTCAAGATTAAAAAGTTTTAAAATGATAACAGTAATGTATTATTGTTGTTGTTGTTAGGTGCCATCGAGTCAGCTCCAACTCATAGCAACTCTATGTACAACAGAACGAAACACTACCCCATCCTCATAATTGTTGTTATGCTTTAGCCCCTTGTTGCAGCCGTTGTGTCAATCCATCTCGTTGAGGGTCTTTCTTTTTTTCGCGGACCCTCTACCTTGCCAAGCGTGATGTTATTCTTCAGGGACTGATCCCTCCTGATAACATGTCCAAAGTATGTGAGACAAAGTCTTGCCATCCTTGCTTCTAAGGAGCATGCTGGCTGTACTTCTTCCAAGACAGATTTGTTCATTCTTCTGGCAAGTTTGCTGCTGATAATTTGCATTTCCACCCCAGATATACTGAATCAGAATCTACATTTTAAACAAAATCCCCAGGAGACTTCTTATGTATAACCTCTTGGGAACTTGTTAGAAATACAAATTCTCAGCAGGTCTGAATCAGAACAAATCCTGTTCGAAGCCCTGGTATAAAGCCTCTCTGCTTTTCAAATTACTTCTGTAGGTTACTTTTACAGAAAGGGGACTGCTGGGTCAAAGTGAATAAACATATTGCCATATGCACATACACATTGCCAAATTGCTTTCTGAAATGATTACTCCAAGTGGTGTGGCGTTTGAAAAGGAAATGTTGGGTTAAATACCTCAGGAAGACAACAATTAGTGGTAAAGGTACATAGAAAATGTAGTTGTATAGACTACATGACTTAAATCTGAGATAAAATCATAAGCATAGCCATGAAAAAACTTAAAAATCATTTAGTGCCTGGAAGATGTGCAAACATGATGAAATTATTCAGTCAGAGGAATTACTCGTACTAGGTAATGTGAGATCCAGAGAAAGGTCCCTTGGTCTTCTTTACAAAATGAATGAAAAACATTAGTGGATTAAATTAGCAACAGGTCTGTAGATTATTGAGCAAATGCTTTGTCTCAACTGAAAAAATGACTAATTTAAAAGAGTAATTGCTGGTGAAAATTCTTTATTTATTTTTCATTATTCTTTGTTTTTCATTAGCTTTCATTTGGAGGACAGGGTAAACTATCAGACAAAGAGAAATTGGTGTTCACGGTTATCTGATTAGAAAAGGAATAATCAAATAGCAGAACCCTTCTCTACCAGCTACCTCCACGCACTTAGTCACTTGCCCCTCATTAGGAGAGGCCAGGTACCAATAATTTTAACAGGTTATCGACTATGAGATTTCAAAAATGCAGCAATAATAAAAAAATGGGACAGTACTTCAAAAGAAACACCAAGCTTTCATCTTTAAAAGAGAAAAAATAAAAATAAACACAAACCCACATTACAACTCAGTTCAAAACTTTTTTCCTACCGTGTAATCTAAGGAGGCCAATATCAATTTTCATCACAGAGTACCATTTTCACCTACTAGTTTTCTCAACAGTGGCCTTCCTGTAAATGCTGTTTGACTATTTCTGGGTCACAACTACTTAAAATTCAAGTTTATCAGCTGTAATAATCTAGGTAACAGCTGAGATAATTACTGAACGTGCTTCTTTGTCTCTTCCCTCCCCAACATCCTCACTTTCTTTATTTCAGTATTTTAATCTGCAGCCGTAGTGAACCTTGTATAATCCCTAAACACTTTTGGCAGGACCAAAAATATAAATCTGCAGATAGAGCTTTTTGTAAACTCTCAGGAGTCCTTTTTGTTTTTTGCCAGCTGGTACTCAGTCAAACAGCTGTTTTGTAAATAAATCATCCGCAGGAATCATCATCATGTCAGCTGCAAAAATGTCAGTTTGAGGAAAACAAGCAGGAAAGCACTTACCAGTTAATTTTCTGTGAGGAGAGAAGCTATTGTGACGCCTGGGTGTAACCTCCGGGCTCCAGAATGAAACGGAGGGTGGTTTTTGCAACAACGATGTTGTACGCTCTTTTCCCAGCCTCCTCAGTTGGCTTTTATCTGGCTTTCGAAATGACACTGTAGAGGAGAATGATGTTGGGTTTTGAATGCGGATCTTTCCTTCCTCCACCGCCCTTCATAAAAGTTCATCATGTATTCCAGGAGAAAAGTAAGCAATGAACATACTGTACAAATTAATTCTTTTGCTCAGCATGCATGTGTGTGTAACTGAAGTTTGCTTTCTGAATGGAAATCATTCCTATTAGCTGCCTGCTGCAAGCTGAAAAGCAGTGATTGTGGAGGGAGCCACCAATTCCTCCTTTGTCTGGGAGGGCTTTTGTTTATGAAAAGTTAAATTAGCAGCAGTCATGGAATGAAAAGATGCCTTAAAATGTCAATAAGAAGCTCTTCAAATGCACACAAACTATAGCGCTCACTAGGAGAAAGATTTTATTTTCTATTCCTGATTTTCTTGGATTCATTTCAAAGCCAAGCAGGCGTATGTTTCAACTCTGTGTTTTAGGTGGTGACTAAAACATTAAAAAAAAAAAAAAAAAAGCACCCACTTTCAAGCAAATCCTGGGTTCAATGTGTTCTGATGGTGAAGAATATTCGTTAGGTATGTATTCTAGTTTTTAGTTCTTTGCCTGGGTGGGTAGAGAGAGAACGTTCCTGGTTCTGAGTAACCTGGATTTGATTTTTATCTCTCATTACATCTGTGGCCCTGGCAGATGTGGGCATATCTGTGTACCAGAGCCCTGCCTCAGAATTTAGAAAATGCAAGGGATGAAAAGTGTGGAGGCTGAAGGTACGTTAGCCTTGGTGTGGTTAGCTTCTCTCTGCAGAACCACCTTGATTTTGAGACCTAACATCAGCTAGACCATGTGATGTTGGAAACTGAACATTTCTATCGCATGAAAAGTCAGATCCAAAAAAAGCACAATATTTTGTATTTTAGTTATCTTTCACTGTTGCTGTTATAGACAAAATCTAGAAAATCTAAATCAATTATTCTCAACGTAGGAGGCGTGGGCAAGAAGGGATTTTACGGGAATAATCCTGGGAGGGACTGGGTATGCTTTTTCAAATTATAAATATCTCTTTGCCCCATACTGATGTTCACTGCTCCCATGCAGAGCTAACTACTATTAACAATCTTGGCATACTTCTTTTCAGGTTTTTTTCTAAGCGTAGATGTGGTCGGTGAAGGGGTAGTAACAGAACTCTCTGCTAGAGATCCACATCTGCCTAGTTACCTGTCCTCACTTTCTTGCATCCGCTGTTAATATTTACTAATAGTTCTATGCCATGTGCTGTAATCACACAGAAGCACAGTTTCCAACAGGATAAAAAGATTTCAGGACGTGTTTCACCACTTTCTAAGTCATTGCAAGTTCTCTGAAGCCTGTTGTGGTTAGTTATTTCAAGGGGTCTCTCAAGAAGGGCATGTATATGTGAGCAGATCGGTAGGGCCAACTTGGCTAAGAGGGGAAGATACACAGGGCCTGTATCATATTATTTCAGGGACAGATCTCCCTTTCTTGAAAAATGGTTTTTATCTACTGACGCTTGAAATTTCACTTTAGAGAATTGTCCTTTTGAAGATACTACATTTTAAAAGAGAAGATTTTTATTAATCTAATGAAGCTCAAATAGTAAGAATGTATTGGGTGATTGGGTCATCCCCTCTCCCCACCCCCATCAGAAAAAACTGGGGTCAGCAACTCGGTCTCCCATCTCTTGATATCATCAAAAAATCCTGTTGCCATCTAGTTGATTCTGACTCATGGTGACCCCATGCGTTACAGAATAAAACTGAGCTCCATAGGAGTTGTTTGGCTGTAATCTTTATGGAAGCAGATCAACAGGCCTTTCTGCTGTGGTGCCTCTGGGTGGGTTTGAATGACCCACCTTTATGTGAGTAGTTGAGCAAAAACTGTTCGTGCCGGCCAGGGATCCTTGATATGATCAAGGATATCATTATTATTTCTCTTTCTTGTTTGATGTTAGAACAGCATACTCGTCCCAAACACTTAAATACTCTGATGATAGGAATTTCAGAAATAGACATTTGAGAGAATTCAGTCAGATCATATAGACTTTTGTTAATGATCAGTTATTCTTTTTCTTTATTCTTTTCTTATTGTTCTTTTCTGTGTGTAAAAACAAGCTTCAGCTCAGAAAGAACATAATCACTAGAAAAGACACACTATACAAATGGGCATTTTCTTATGAAAGAAGCTGATTTGTGAAAAACTAAAAGACATTCACTGTACATTTTTTTCCTCTTCTCATACAGGGAGATGACTGTCTTGTTTTTAAGTGCTTTTCTTAAGCCCTTTCTTCAGGGTAGGCAGGGTCAGAGAGTAGACTTAGGGGCCTTTATTTGGTTGAACCGTGAGGCTGGAGCCATGCAAAGCTTTTTCCAGAGATTGAAATGTACTCACAGTCACAGTACTCAGGGGGGGCACAGAAGGGACCGATGCCAACCCGGCCTTACAGGGAAGTTTTTATGCCACTTAAAACAGAGAATTCTTAAAAGCCACTGAGCCATCCTCAAATTCTTGCTTTTAAGTCTGTATTGCCCCCCAGGAACTGAGCCTGAAGGATATTCAGTGGGAATGTCTGTCAGAGGACTCAGCTCTACATCTTCTTTGTCACTAAGGTACAAAAGCTCCAATTACCTGCGGAAATGTGGGGAACAGCTTCTCTCCTTGTTGCTAATTTGAGTAAAGCTTCTCTTTTATCATGACAAATGCCAATTCAAATGAGATCTAGATACAGAGATTTATAACTTTTCCTGTCTCTGGGAATCGAGGTTTTGGTTTTTCTAACTACAGATGCACGCTGTGTGAAGCTTCTGGGGGCAAAGCAAACACTCACCTGTCAGAAGGTCGCTGTGCCGTGTAGCTGCAGGTAGGTGAGTGGGCAAAGTCTTCAGGGTTCTGTGCTCTGAATCTTCATGGTTTAGCGATTTCTCTGGGAGAGCTGGTCACAGCTATCCTGAGTTTAGGGAAGAAGTATTTCCTCTGTATGTAACCAAAGGAGGTAAATAATCTTTCAGTTTACTGCCCTGGAAAGGGAAATGTGGTTTGCCAGTGGTTAAACAAATCTGTTGCATATCGCTTAGTCAACAGGCTTCTGGGTGACACCATCCTTGGTCCTGATCCCAAACTCTCTACTTTGGGAGTTTAGTCCACTCCCAACTACCTACTCTAATTATGCTACTTTTCTTGTTAAACTACACATAATTATGGATATGATATAAGTGTATCTGGAGTTTCAAAAAAAATGACACATTTTAGGAAAGGAAAAAGATTGGAGAATAAAGCATGTTTTCTCAACTTCTTTAACATGGTTGCATTCTTCATTAGGAACTGGAAGCCTGCAGAGCTAAGGCAGCCTGTCAGTATGTTTTGTTGGTGCTGCACAGTGTTTTCTAGACTTTGAATTAGTTTCCAATATTTAAAAATCAGGAGATCTTACATAGTCATCCAGATTCCCAGCTCCTCATGAAAAATCAGAAGATCTGGGTAACACAGGGCCGGTGTAAGGGTACAATTGGAGGAGGTGAGGGGTGGCTGTCCCCAGCAGCACCTGTCCACTTTGGCAGTTCCATACTCTCCCACTTTCCAGTTCCATGCTTTTCTCCTCTGTTCTCCTCACTCATGGACACCACCACCACAGACCATCCAGGAATTTGCACTTTTGACCCTTGAGTCCCTTTCTCATCCTTTTCCTATTTTCTTCAGATGAATTTTCCTATTGAGTTTCATTTGAATAAAAATCTAGTACACAGAGACATAAGTCATCGGGTGGTCATTTTTATTACATAAGGAAATGTTTGTTCATTAAAAAAAAATCCATGAATTCTCTACATTTCCCTAGAAAAATATGACTGCATAATAAAGTACGATTCAGTTAACAAAACCAACTTTAATCAGTGTAACTATGGAACAGTGGTGTGCCAAGGGAAGTGCAATGGGAGTGACTCACCCCAAGTGCAGACAATAAGGGGCGAACTCTCTGTAGAGAATTTAAAACCGATAAGAAGATCAGCTAAAAGTCAGTCTGCTTTTTTGTTATCACTATGTGCCAGCAATTCTAAACAATATCAGTGATGAGATATTCTGCCCCTCAAAAAAATCTTTTGTTGGGTTGAGTCTAAACAACTGCTGTGATTACTGTTTTAATTATATGTATGTATATACTTCTTATTTATTTTTCATAGACAATATATTTTTACATGAAAGTTAATTATTTATTCTTTTTTTTTTTGTTACTTATTCTTTAATAGACTATGTATTTTACATGGAAGTTAATTGGGAAAACTCACTGTTGTTCACTGGGCCCAACGATACACATGAACTCAGTTACTCATTCCTTTTGAGATTAAGCTAATGATGGTTCTGAATCATGGGTGCAATTTGTGTCTCCACAGCTGTGATGCTGTATGTTCCTGAATTTAAGCACCAGATATGAAATACATGCTGACAGCACAATCATGGTAAAGATGAAGAAACAGAACTGAAGCTACTCCAGCATCTTCATTCCATGTGACCACTTAGAGTTTTAAATTCATATTTAAAATTTAAAACAGTGAAACAAAGTGTGGATTGCAAGGTGTAATATTTTTATTTGACAAATGTAAAGTTCAGTCCATAAATGAACTTTTTTTGGATAGTATCTTTAAAAGTGACTATCATTCTTTTTAAATTGTCTGTTTTAAAACTAAAGACCAAATCAAGAAGTAAAAACACTTTAACAATGATGTATGTTAGCAGTTGCCTAAGTTGTATCTTTTGCAGTCATTTCAGTTTTTTCAAAATTCAGTTAGTAATTGCTGGACAATTATTTGCATAAGATGTTATTATATTCAACTATACACAAGGGATCTATGGTCAAATTGTTAGCTAGCTATAAAAACTATTAAAGAAATAGTTATTCACTTTTCATTTTTTTGTACTGTAAACAGATATCATTTATTTATATTTCATTTCATACGTAATTAAATATAC